AGAGAGAGAGAGAGAGAGAGAGAGAGAGAGAGCGAGAGAGCGAGCGAGCTTGCATATTTCATTTGGTTCAACTGCCACGCTCCCGTTGTGGAAAATGTGGTAAAGTTATCATGCCTCAATGTACAGGCAGTCATGCTGTTCTTTCATCGTCCACAGTAAGAACAACGAGCACGAAGAAGAGGTGAAGAAATTATATGAAGAGATGGAGTCACAGATCAAACAGGAGAGGGAACAAATACTTGCTGAGGTGGGTCAGAGGTCAGGGGTCGCCTTAGAGGTGGGAAAGAGAACAGAGTGCAATGGAAGCTGGTAGCCTACATATCTGAACAGCTAATTGTAGACCTGTACTTTCACCATAATATTGATTAATATTTCCTATGCATAGGAAAATTGTTACCATTTCTGAAGCAATGTGATGAAATTACTATATATATATGTTGTTACCCGTATTTCAAATATTGCTCCTGCCTCTGTTTGTTGATTTTTTAAAGTGTCTTTCGGTCTATCTATACTTATGGGGATATTCTCAGCCTTAATCAGTCATAATTATATAGTGCCAGTCTGGTTCTTGTTCATTCTAATGATTTATTGTAAACTTTCGTCGCTCCACCCTCATTTCTCATGCTCTTATCCTTCTTTTGAAACTTTCCCTTTCTTCTCTTCTGTTCCTCAGTTCTTCCTCTCCACAACTATACTATTGTTTTCAGCTTCGGAACTATCTGTCTCCTCCTCTACCCCCTCCCCCGCATTTTCCTCAAGTCATATAATTATGAAAATAAAAAATGTTCTTCAGTTGGAATAGAGTACTGTAAGTTATTACCATGTAGGTTAATTGATTGGTGCTTTCTCTTTTGTATAGTCTAAAATCCTAATCTTTTACTGTTAAGTCCTTTTCGTAAAAAATGTTTAAAATCTATTCAGGGAAAAACATTATAGCCCTATTACTATAGATTACGAGTGAATGAATTTATGCTCATATTCACCCAGAAAACTGAGTGCACCCAGTGCACTTTATTTACACCGCTTTTTTTTTTCTCAGGAGAAAATGAAGGAGAGGCAGATCAAAGGAGAACTAGAGGAACAAGTACATGAGAAGGAGAGACAGCTACAGGAGATTCTATCGAGACATCAAGAGGTTATTGTTGTTGTTGTTGTTGTTGTTGTTGTTGTTGTTGTTGATATAAAGGTTTCTGCAGTTGGGGGTTTTTTTTTGTGGCCCTTTGCTGTTGTTGTTATATCCTCAGTTTTTTGGGGGGGTTTTAAAACAATTCTGGCA